TAATTATGTATATATTTTTTTAAATTCGAAAAAAAATAAACAAAATAACAAAAATATCAATCGTTTGGTACGGCCAGACTGGGTCTAGCCCGCAAAATTTTTGGGCTATCACGTCAACCACAACGTCAGCCTCTTATTGTCGTCCAAGTACCGCATCAAGGACAGCGCTCGCACTTTCGTTGAAGCCAATGCCTGAATCCAAGGCAAGATCTGCTTTTATCGTGGATCGTCGTGGATCCGATTCACTCAAAACGGGAATACTTCGCCGAGTCCCGTCCACCTCAGCTGCGGCTCAAGCAACTCAGAAAGCCCAGGCCAATCACCCCGATCTCAGAGGAGCTCTTCGATCAGCGCAGATGGAGTCAGGCTGGACCCACCCAACCATGGGTCTGGACCCACCAGATGGATCTCCCTGATGCGCCAATCACTTTTCAAGAAATCTTGGTGGACATAAAGAAACTCAAGTCCAAGAAGGCCCCTGGCAACGACAGGATTGAAAATGTTGTGGCAAAGGCGCTACCAAACAGGGATATTCTATTCTATGTATATCTGTTCCCCAAAGCCTGGAGATGAGTCCACATGATCATGCTGCCAAAGCCAGAAAAGCCACCGGAAGACCTAAGAAACCCTAGAGCAATTAGTCCCCTGTGGACTTTTGGCAAAATGTTTTTAGATCGTGTTAAAAGTTAATTAATTAATATTTAAATCGAACTAGCGCGCCAAGGTAGAAATTCGAATACTCAACCCACCACAAGGTGCTCTTAGGCAAGGTGGGAAATCCAGAGAGAATTCAACAGAGAGAGAGAGAGAGAGTGGTAACTCACTTTATTTCACCTCAGCAATCAGCTGACGACCAAACCCACCGCAACATTGAGCGCGCCAGATCGACTGGCCCCCGCCAATTGATTCCGTTAACTCCCCACCAGTCCACAGAGAGATCCACACCATCCACACATCCAACCATCGCGAACGAGGCCTGATAAGCCCATTGTGTGTGTTTCGCGTTTGTTGTGCTTTCGTTCGCTGTGTTTTCGCTTGTCTGTCCGGCGCTGGAGTAGAAAAAGAAACGGTAAAAGTGTGGGAAAAAACGCTTCTCGGTTGTTTTTAACCATTAAAAACTTAAAAAATGCTCGAAGCAGCTTAAAACTAAGGTGGCTACCTCTTAGAAAGCCTTAAATAGGCAACAATCAATCAATTCAATCAATCTTAGTGCAATTCTACATGCATACAACAAAATATACGAGTATGTGTGTACTTAGGCTTGTATGGATGGGCTATTCTCTATGTACTTCAATACATGGATACCACCCATTTTTATGCACTGGGCAAACAGAGTAAATATAAATGTAAAAAAATAATAAAGATCATTGCAGATGCAGATTAGCACCCTTAACAGTTCTCATATATACATATGTACATATGTACATATACATATTCTTTATGAACAAATATTTCTTGGTTTAAAAATCTTCCATCAAACTTTATATATTTTGTGAGCATTTTTCTTGCCTACAGGCATATGCCATCTTTTAATAAGAAAAGTGTATTCGCAAGACAACTGGCAGGTCAAGCCAATCAATTATAAACATACTCGTATGTATGTACATGTTGTACATACATATGTAATATGTAGTATCTTTTCTATGACATTCGGCCAACTCTCATTCCCAGCTTCAACACATTTGCATTTAATTTTGGTGCTACTCATTAGCCGTGTAATTTGTCCGCCAGAATCCGTCACACTTTGTTAAACAATACGAGTATTGCTGGAAATATTTGTTCAAGTGCAGTGCAGTGCAAATGTGATGGCTAATATTAGCTTGTTTCCATTTTTTGTACTCAATTTATTTCTCAATTAACGAAACGGCAAAGAAACAGTTTGGGCCGAAAATTAAAGGGAAAAAAACCCCATGAAAATAAAACAATATTAGGCCAGGTGGATTTTCACTAGGTAGATGAGTCGGATGGATTGTATTAAACGGCTAATACATAGGTACTTACATATGTACATCTATGCGGAACGGAACGGAACGGAAAGGAAAACTCATCCATCATTGGAATAGTGTCCCACACCGACTTATCGCCAGTGCCATCGCCATTCACTATGTTAATTTTGTTAAATGACTTTTTTGCCTTAATTTCAGTTTTGTTTCCAGTTCCATTTATGGCGCCATGGCGATGTCAACTGATCTGAGCCAAATGAGAAATAGCCATAGAAATGTGCCGATAATTTTGTTGTTAACTGCCGGATTAGCCATTGCCTTGGCGAATGGTCAAGACGCGAGATCCCCCGGCAAACCGCACATCATCATCATAATGGCTGATGATATGGTGAGTGTCTAGTATGATCGTTTGAATCGCTGCTAATTATAGATCCCATCCCCCTTGCCAGGGCTTCGACGATGTGAGCTTTCGTGGCTCCAATAACTTTCTCACGCCCAATATCGACGCCTTGGCATATAGCGGAGTGATTCTGAACAATCTGTACACCGCTGCCATGTGCACTCCCAGCCGGGCTGCTCTTCTCACTGGAAAATATCCCATTAACACAGGTTTCTATCGCGAATAGATCCGACCCGAATGCAGACCAATAGCAAATCTATTCTCAGGCATGCAGCACTATGTGATCGTGAATAATCAGCCCTGGGGTCTGCCGCAGCAGGAGAAGACAATGGCGGAGATCTTCCGGGAGAACGGCTACTACACCAGTCTCCTGGGCAAGTGGCATCTGGGGATGTCGCAGCGCAACTTTACGCCCACCCAGCGGGGCTTCGACCATCATCTGGGCTACTTGGGAGCCTATGTGGACTATTACGACCAGACCTACCAGCAAAATGTGAGAGGTGGCTCTAAAAAGTCGATGCTGAAGATCCTTTACTTTTGTGGGTCCCTTGCAGGGCAAGAATTACGCGAGAGGGCATGACTTTCGCCTTAATCTGAACGTCACTCACGACCAGGTGGGCCACTACGTGACCGACGTGCTCAGCGACGCGGCCGTCGAGCTGATCGAGCAGCACAGTGGCAGCAACAGCAGCCAGCCACTCTTCCTGCTCCTCAGCCACCTGGCCCCGCATGCGGCCAACGCCGACGATCCCATGCAGGCTCCCGCCGAGGAGCTGGCCAAGTTCGAGTACATCCGGAACGAGACCCATCGCTATTACGCCGCCATGGTATCGCGGCTGGACAGGAGTGTGGGGCGAGTCATCGATGCCCTGGCCCGCCAGCAGATGCTGCAGGACAGCATTGTACTCTTCCTGTCGGACAACGGCGGACCCACAGTGGGCGAGCACTCGTCGACGGCCTCCAACTATCCCTTGAGAGGCGTAAGTATCGCACAGAGAATCAGATATTCCGGTCAATTGGTCCTATTGATTCAGATTTTCTGATCTACAGCAAAAGAACTCTCCCTGGGAGGGAGGTCTGCGCTCGTCTGCGGCCATCTGGAGCACCGAGTTCGAGCGGCTGGGCACCGTGTGGAAGCAGCAGACCTACATTGGCGACCTTCTGCCGACGCTCGCCGCAGCGGCGGGCATAGCTCCAGATCCGGACCTGAAATTGGACGGAATGAATCTCTGGTCGGCCCTCAAGTACGGTTACGAGTCGTTGGAGCGAGAGATCGTGCACAACATCGACATGGACCCGTCGGCACCCTATCTGGCCTACACCCGAGGCAAGTGGAAGGTGGTGAACGGCACCACCAACGCGGCCCTCTTCGACGGCTGGCTGGGCGAGCGGGTAACGCGGGAAGTGGATCCCCGATCCGCGAACTACGAGGAGCTGATCCGCAACACCAGTGTCTGGCAGCACCTCCAACTGCTTATGGGGAGCCAGAATGAGCGCAACATAACCAGTCTCCGGCAGCAGGCCCAGATCGAGTGCCCGGAGCCTCCGGGCGCGACCAAGCCGTGTCTCCCGCTACTGGCCCCCTGTCTCTTCGACATCGATGCGGATCCCTGCGAGCGGAACAATCTGTACGAGGACTACCGCAACACGACCATCTTTCTCGACTTGCTGCAACGCATCGAACAGTTTGCAAGCCAGGCCCATGCTCCGAACAACATGCCAGAGGATCCGGATTGCGATCCACGCTTTTACCACAACGAGTGGACCTGGTGGCAGGACGAACAGGCCTCCGGGGCAGCTATCATGTGGAGCGTTAAACGATTAAACCCTCTTCTGGTAGTATTCGTAGGCTTTTGGTGGATATTGTAAACTGGTAAGTGATTTCGGAATATTTACATAAAGCATGCAAAATATTTTCTACATATGTATACTGTCACATATCCGCAGACATCTGGCCCAAAAGTATGCTCCCGAAAATCAATCCCAACTCTGAAATGAAACGTCGAAACTTTGGAAACAAAACAACTCTTCTTCTGCAACATTCCAGAGAACTCACAGGCGAAAGGTCCGACTAAACTGTTAGTTGGAACAATTAATGGTTCTGAGTAGTGTCTAAGTGGTAATCAACTAGATTATGTATGTGCCTATCTTATCGATGGGCCCATCGCTTCTGTGAATTGTGATAGTTGCAAAACCCCCGTCAATATATAAATACATACCTATATACAAGAGACGTAAATCAATCAAAAGATCCCTAAAAACGAATCACTGTCCATCAGGCAGAGCTTTAAAGGTGCTTGAAGTGGCTTTGTTGTGTGATATACAGCTTTGCTATTGTTAGAAAGTTTATTTTTTGTCGTCTGTCTTCTAAGAAACATTCCAAGAAATCAACATACATCAGTGATCTATGATCACCAATTATTCAGTTCTATAATTAGCATTTCCGCGTAGATTTTTTTTCGAGTGTATTGTTATCAAAGTCATTGTTATCCCAGTCATAAATTAGGCAAACAAAAATATAGATTATTATACAAGAATAATATATAAATATACTTTCTTTGAAATCAGAGAATGTACATATATACATATGTAGATATATACATACGTTTCTTAATGTCTTTAGGCATAGAAATATTGCGAGTAAAACATATTTGATATAAATTATCGTTTTGTGTATTTATTTTAGAGATGCGATTTAAACTGTCACAAAGAGATCATCATGATGGGTAGATTTTCCCTGTTCAATAGATGGTTCCATTCTTCGGCAGGGCCACAAGGACCTCGTACTTGTCGAATTTGCGCAGGGCCAGGGTCTCGTGCTTGATGATGCACAGCTTCTCGCTGAGCATGAGCATGCCGATGAGCAGGCCACCGTCGGTCTTGGCTCGGCACATGAACACGCGCTCATTGAAGTTCGAAGTGCCCACGGCAACGGAGCCAAACTCGTACAAGCCGTCGAAGCTGCGGACCCATACGTATTTATAGTCGCGCTCGATCACCAGGATATCGTATGTCGTCGCCTTGGAGGCCGTCAGCTGGTTGTTGAAGTAGGCGACACCCGTCTCTGCGACTACGCGGGCTGGCACGATCGTGGTGCCGAACTTGACGCGGCCAATATAGATGTTGTAGCCGTAAGGATCGAATCCTCCCAGAATGGCGTTGTTGGGGAAGGGGTACGACAGGTTTCCGGCCTTCCACACGTGCTCGGTATCTGGAGAATGGCAGGATTAGTATCGCTCCATAGCCAGCATCCATGGTTTACTTACCATAGGCTGAGGGCACCGCCGAGGCGACTGCGCACAGGGCCAACACTAAACAGGCAGCTTTGTACATCTCGAGGGTTTCTTGGATACCAAATGAATGTGAATCGTCTGGCCAGGTGCACAGCTTTTATACTTACCTCCTTATCGCCGCAGTCTTGTTACTCTTATCGCTATCAGATGATTACTATTGATAGGATCGATTCGGTGAGTAACATGCTTGAGAGTGAGTTTGCGCATCGTGATTTTATTGCTCCATAAAAAGTAGAAGACATTTCTAAGGTAAAAATCCCCCTCTAGACCTAAAAGGCATTTCATAATATTAGATTATTAATTAATCAATTTCTTAGTAAGATAATTCGATGATTAACCAGCTCCATCGGTCGATACAGAAATTTATTTTTAAAGAAAACTTTGTAATATACGAGTAGTCTTTTAAGTCATATCCATTTAAAAGTTTTGCACTTTTTAACCAAATCCTGCATAGAACTTTATCATCTACGGTCGTGATTTATATCATTTAACTATAATCGAAAAATTCTTCTTTGGAGGAAAATTGAACATTTCCGTGTCATGATTTTTGACAATTTTCGAAGTGGATTTTTGAGACAAGAATTCTTCGATCAACTTAGTTTAACTTTTGGCGATGAAGCACCATGCATTGCCACAACAAAAAACCGGTAAAAGGAATTCAGAATTGTACGTCCTTCACTGCAGAACGAATCCCGTGAGGGTCGTCCAAAAAATAAATGCTGTGCGGAATTGGCAATTGCAATATCGTCAATACCACGACCTTGAGGCATCTTTGGGCATTATAGGAACCAAGGTACAATCAACATTGTATGAACAGTTGGCCGTCAGGAAGGATTTTCCTGATAAGATGCAGACATTTTCTCCAAAAAACACACAAGTGCTGCCAAGATTAGTTTTAGCGGATGCAAAGTTAAGAGTACACTACAGCCTACGGACTTAAAAGGCATCCAACGTATTCACACGTCATTTAGTGATGAGTAAATTAAACGAATTAAACGATATGGCAATGGCATGCCATATCCAGGGTCTTATAAGATCTTCATGTCTTGGGTGTAATTTAAGTAGGACTCTTAAAGTAATAGACACTGAATATTCCTTTGGCACATTGTAAACTTCACTCCCATCTTTACCATCGGTGTTTAAAATCAAAAAATTTATATATAAATGTTCGAAATTCCAATTTTTATAGATGTTTTTATTTTTGTACACCTTCACACCTAATAGCATATGTAGAAATCTCCAGTATTTTATTGGATGGTACAATATATATTTATGTATGTATGTATGGGATCTCATGCCATTGATCATCCTCTCAATAAATTGTTGTGTTTTTCAATAAATATTTTTATGATTTTATTTTCATTTAATGATATTTAATACTTTGTTTCAAATCTTTCCCGCTTCGATTTGCGCGTCAAATGGTATAAACTCAGCAGCTTGGCGTTCCCTAACCAATATCTCGTACTTGTCGGACTGCCTCAGTGGATTCTCGCCGTACTTTACGATGCAGACGCGTTTGCCCAGGTAGAGGGTGCCAATGAAGAGTCCCTCGTCGGCACGGAAGCGACAGATGTAGACGCGGTCGCCCAAGGAGTTTGTTCCCACTGGCACGGCTCTTTTCTCCAGGAAGCCGTCGAAGCTGCGCTTCCAGCGGTAGCTGACGGTGGCGTTGGACACGAGCACCTCATAGGAGGTTGCCGTATTGCTAAGGGTGTCCGTGTTGTAGCTAGCCTTGCTCAGCTCTGGAACCACTCGGGCCGGAAGGACGTTGGAGCTGTACACCACACGGCCCACATAGTTGTAGTAGCCTTCGGGATCGAGGCCTCCGAGGACAACGTTGTCGGGGAACTCCAAAGTCTTGTCCGGATAAACCCACGTATCCTCATAGCTGTACACTCCGCCTTGAATGAGGCCCACCAGCTGGACGAGGATCAGGGCCAGAACGGCAGACTGCTTCGCGTAGTACATGGTTCGACTGTTGTCTGAGGTCTTCTGGCCACTTGGACCTCTGCTGCCGGCTCTTATAGGGCCGGCTCCCCATCTGCTGGGGTTCCTGGTCAAGTTTTCGATAAGGATGAGTGTAAATCATTCACATTCGGGTGTTGCTTGAGTGATATGATTAGATAGTCGTTGATTTTTCGATGGATTTCTAATTAATGTTTGCATTATGTACTCTGAGCTATTTTTAAGATGTGACGACATCATGTGGAATTGTCAGGAACCCTTAGGATTATTAATTGAAATGAAGTCCATTATTTTACAATACATATATTATAGTGAAAGCTCCCTTTGAAAGTAGCATCTATTTTTATTAAAAGATTAATTACAGAAATGTAATTTCTCTTTTGCAACAACTTTATTAATTTTAAAATGTTATAATACAAGGATATAAATATGAAAAATTTTGAATTTAAATATGAAATAATTTAAATATGATACTAATATTTAGTTTATTCATTTAATTAACATACAATTTATGCATAAAATATATATTTTTAAATATAAAGACAATTTATTTCAATTTAAATTTAAAAAAATATTTTTTTTTAAATGTGAAATGTATTTAAATCCCATATCTTTACATTATTGTCAAAATCTAAGGGCAGAAACTTTCTTTTACGATTTCGACTCTCCGAAAAAGTCTATTATCATACATTTACGAAGCTTTTTTCTCTCGACGTGCATAGGTATGTACTATATCCACCTTGAAATGACCTATTACGAACGAACCGATTACTACCGAAAATAAATCTAATCAAAGCCAAATCGGTTTGCTTTTCATTATGCCCTTAGGTAGAGGTTTGTTCAATGTATAGGTACTCGTGGGTTCTCAAATCAGAATTAATTCTCTGCCCCCTCATTGAAGATGTGGAAAGCAATTGAAGGAGTGGAAATAGTAAGAAGAACTTTTGAACATGGCAAGTCCGAAACCTTTCCTTTCAAAATATTGGATGCCATTGGGCATGCTCTCAATAAATTGTATAAATAATTTAAATAAATATATATATGATTTTATTTGCATTTAATAAATTTGTTTTAACAAGTTCCTGCTTCGATTCAAACACCGAATGGACTAAACTGTGCCGCCTTGCGTTCCCTAATCAGGATCTCGTACTTGTCGGACGTCCTCAGTGGCATCTCGTCGATCTTCACGATGCAGACGCGCTTGGCCAGTAAGAGGGTGCCCACGAGGAGTCCCTCGTCCGTCCTGAGGCGACAGATGTAGACTCGGTCGTTGCTGGCGTTAGTTCCCACGGATACGGCGCTTTTCTCCAGGAAGCCGTCGAAGCTGTGCTGCCAGTGGTACCGGACGGTGTCGTTGGACACGAGCACCTCATAGGCTTTGGTCTGGGAACCAATGGTGTCCGTGTTGTAGGAGGCCTTGTTCAGCTCTGGAACCACTCGGGCAGGAAGGATGTTGGAGCTGTGCACCACACGGCCCACATAGTTGTAGTAACCTTCGGAATCGAGGCCTCCGAGGACAGCGTTGTCGGGGAAGTCAGTATTCGAATACATGTACACCCACGTGTCCTCATAGCTGTAGGATCCGCCTTGAATGAGGCCCACCAGCTGGACGAGCATCAGGGCCAGAACGGCAGACTTCTTTGCGGAGTACATGGTTCAACTGATGTCTGAGGTGCTATGGCCATTTGGACCTCTGCTGCCGGTTCTTATAGGGCTCTCCCCAGGGCGCCGGACGGAGGGCAAATCTGGCCAAATTTTCGATAAGGCTGATTGTAAATCATTCAGACTCGGGGGTTGCTTGAGTGATACGATTAGATAGTCGGTGATTTTTCGATGGACTTGTAACTTAGAGGTGGCACTACTCTGATAAGCTCACTTCATGGGTATTTTTTTGCGATTCCCAGGAAAATAGAAAAGCAAAAGATATCTTAAATATAACCACAGCAACGTATTCCTCCTCATCTTTGATCCCCTATGGGATTACCTTTGATCGCCTGTTCGCATATTCCCATGTTTTTTAAACAAATCCGGATTATATCTCCATTCTACAGTCATCTCCTATGAACGATAATATCACGAGTAATGCAAATTAGACAACCTTCCAAGCTTGGCATTCAAATTGGCGGGGCCGAAGCCGTATCAAGCGAAATATATATATAGATATATATATGTATATGCTAGTACTAATCAATTCAATTAGAGCGAAAAACCTGTTTGTATGTTATCACCGCTTATCAGAGCACCAGAGCACCAGAGCACGAGACCCTGACCAATGTCAATGTGCCGGCATGAGAGCTACATATAACGGGATAGTCATAGGCTCTCTCTCTCCCCTTTCTCTCTCGCGCTCTCTCTCAAAGTTTGTCTTTGCTCGATTTTGTATTGTTCACTTTTGCTTTTGCAAAAACAAGTTTTGCTTTTGACTTTTGCTTTTGGGTTTTGGCTTTTATGGGTCTGTGTGTTTTCGGTTTCATACGTTTATTTTTCGCGCACGATTCGTGACGTCAGAGAGGTGGAGCGTCGGAAGGGGGGTGGGGAAAGGTTGTCACTTAAAAGCGCCAGCAGCCAGCGTGCCGCTTAGTCGATCGGAGCAGTTGCAGCGGGAAGGATCCAACCAGACCATCGTAGATCTGGTCACCTCTATAGCTCCAAGCACAAAGCTGTTACCGGCGGGTGGGTGCGACTGCGACCACTGCCAACGTACTAAGTGGAGTGGAAAAGTGCTTTCAGTGTTTCGGTTAAAGACTTTGAGAGACTATACTCGAGAGTTTCGTTAGAACAGTGTGAAAAGTGGCTGGCCCCTCAACAGAGTTACAAAAATGATCTCTAAAATGAACCATATCTTTCTGAAATGAAACCTGACATGTTGAATGGATTCTTATATCATAGAAAGGGCTTTTGCAGATGAACCAATCTCTGAGATTGCTAAACAAAACATACCTCCCATATTTGGCAGTTGAAGATGACAGTTTTCCAAATGCCTCGCGGTTTTCCACACGTTTCCTTATATAATCTCTCTCTCTCTTGGGGTCTTGCATAATGCCACCAGATTGGGCAACATTATAATGGTGCATTGTAAATCGCCTAACTAACGTGAGTTGTGGCTGAATTTACAATACTACATACCACAGTCCCTCGACTGACACACTGTCACAAGCAAAAGTCCTCTCGGGGCCAGAGACCGAGATGCATCTGGCCTGTGGATGCATCTCGTGGATCCAAACCAGTTTTTGGATAGGATTAGCGTTGATGGCTAGAGGGGGGGACTACGCTGGAAGAACCTTTCCATTGATTACTCATAAACTAGTCCTGATTTTCCCATTGATCCCCTTGGCCACTTAGTAGTAACGAGCGTCCGAAGGTCGACAGTCACGCCGCTGGGCGTTGCCTTTCTCAGTCACAGTCCGCAGGTCGTGACTGATAATTTCCCAAAGAATTCGCATGACAGTTTAGACTTCTATCCAAATTATATACAACACAATACTGGCAAATGCCGCAAATGCGACAGGCTACAGACTCACTAGCGTTAAATGGGGCTTAGGTTTAAGGCCTTTGGGCCAGATTTCATTATTGCCATGCTGGTTCATGGTGTTTATGGGCTATTGCGACAATTAAAGCCCACTTTTATCCAGATAAAAATAAATTACGCTTCCCATAACCATAACCAAGGCAAAGTGAAGTGAAGTACGGGTGTGCATTTGCCGTGCTGTGCCGTGTGTTTTATATAACTGTTTAACAATTGTTGCAAAAAGACAACAAAGCATTAAACAATCGCTTGAATGGTTTAACGAACTTGTCGGCCATACAACACGGTGCTGGAGGAGGTCAGTGGTGGTCGAGGAGTAGTAGGAACACCTGTAGATGCCAGATGCCAGATGCCAGACACATATGTACACTGGTCTGGTCTCTTAGGATCAATGATAGTATCATTAACACTCTTAACAACAAGCTCTTGGCAGTTCTTTTTTAGAGCAGACTTAATCGGGAATCTGTAGCCTATTCCCCAAACATGAATCTACTACTTCCTGTCCTACTCTCACTGAGTGCTGCAATTAGTGGTTGCCATGGAGAGGGCGAGGCATCCGCCAAGCCAAATATCATAATCATACTGATTGATGATATGGTAAGCCACTCCTACTCGATTCAATCAAAGTTCGAACCAGTAAAAGGATTCTCTCTGTAGGGTTTCAACGATGTGAGCTTCCATGGCTCGAACCAGATCCTGACACCGAATATAGATGCCTTGGCCTACAATGGGATCCTGCTGAATCGACACTATGTGCCCAACCTGTGTACGCCCTCCAGGGCCACCCTGCTGACCGGAAAGTATCCCATCCACACGGGTGAGCTGCAAGAGGGACTGTAAGGCTTCCACAAGTACGATAATGGTTACTCCTTGCCCAGGAATGCAGCACTTTGTGATCGTCACCGACGAGCCCTGGGGTCTGCCCAGGCAGGAGCGTCTCATGCCGGAGCTCTTCCGCGATGCCGGCTACGCCACTCACCTGGTGGGCAAGTGGCACCTGGGCTTCTGGCGGAAGGACCTGACGCCGACGATGCGCGGCTTTGACCACCACTTTGGGTACTACAATGGCTACATGGACTACTATGACCAAACCGTGCGGATGCTAGACAGGAACTACTCGACGGGCCTGGACTTCAGGCGGGACCTGGAGCCCTGCCGTGAGGCAGAGGGCACGTATGCCACGGAGGCGTTCACGACAGAGGCCAGGAAGGTAATCGAGCGGCACGACAAGAGTCGGCCGCTCTTCATGGTCCTCAGCCACCTGGCCGTGCACACGGGCAACGAGGACAATCCCATGCAGGCGCCCGAGGAGGAGGTGGCCAAGTTTGCGCACATTCGAGATCCAAAGCGTCGCACCTATGCGGGTAAGTCCTGTCCCGCTCCCAAGAGAGGCCATGAATAGAGGTTTCTTTTGGCTAGGCATGATCTCGAGTCTGGACAAGAGCGTTGGCCAGACGATGCGTGCCCTGGCGGACAATGGGATGCTGAACAACAGCATCGTTCTGCTCTACTCGGACAATGGAGCGCCCACTGTGGGCATTCACTCCAATGCTGGCTCCAACTATCCCTTCCGTGGGGTAAGTGCTCTATCTTTACTCTTTTTCTGGGCTAAAAGATGTCTTTCCGAGTAGCAAAAGGAATCCCCCTGGGAGGGTGGCATTCGATCGGTTGGTGCCCTCTGGAGCCCGTTGCTGCAGCAGCGTGGCTACGTGTCCAACCAGGCGATCCACGCAATCGACTGGCTGCCTACCCTGGCGGCAGCGGCCGGAGTGTCTCTGCCATCGGATCTCCGGCTGGACGGACTCAACCTGTGGCCCTCGCTAAGCGCCAGCGCACAGCCCCAGCCCCGGAATTTGCTGCACGTGCTAGACGACGTCTTCGGCTACTCTTCGTACACGCAGGACACGCTCAAGTACGTCAACGGGAGCAGCTTCGAGGGGCGGTACGACCACTGGCTGGGTGAGCTGGAGGACGGCGAGGAGGATCCGAACAGTAAGGACTACGGCCAGCTGGTGCGGGCCTCGGAGGTGCAGGCTGTCCTGGGAAGTGTGGCCCCGACTGACGACCGCATCCGGCAGATGCGGGACGAGGCCACACAGCGGTGTCCCATACAGGAGCGGGATCCCGAGGATCCCGTCTACCTGTGCGAGCCCCTCAAGGCTGCCTGCCTCTTCGACCTGGCCAATGACCCGTGTGAGCGCTACAACCTGGCCAACCTGTACCCCCTCCAGCTGCAGTTGCTCGCCCAGGAGGTCGAGGAGCTCCGTCTCACGGCATTGCCCAGCGCCAGAGTTCCCCGAGCGGATGTTCGCGCCGATCCTGCGCTCCACGACGGCCACTGGGAATGGTGGAACAACACGTTGCCGGGCTCCAGTGCCGCCGCTTTGCCGCCTTCGGGTCCTTGGCTCTGGCTCTGCCTCTTCAATATTGCCTTGTCGTTTATAGTTTTTATTAGTTAAATTATTTTGTTTATACTTTTTTTATACTTAATGAAAAATAAAACTGCGTTTTTCTTGCAATTGAAAAAAAAAAAAGAGAATATAATTATTTTTTTAGTGGGAGGGAATATGGCTGATTTAATTATGACTTTTTATCTATAAAAATATTTTCCACAGGGATTTCATAATAAATCAAAATTTTTAGCCGAATAATAGATTAAAAATAAAGCATATTTTTGGTTTAATTCACATACCCCCAAAGGTATGCCATCTATTTGCTCAATTTAACCGTAAAAATTCACATATGCTACGTATCTGCTCTTACCAAATTCATTGGGGGCTGTGATCTGGGGCGTGGCTACGTTGTGGAACGACTTGGAGCCCCAGGTGCCCTGGACTCTGACAACAACTCCATTTTTAGGAATGTGCGAAAAAGAGGATGAAAAGAAGGAATGCGCGAGTACTTAGCCGCACCCACACCGCGCACCCCTGCGTCTCACTCCCACCAACAGGAGACACAACCACACACTTTCGATCTCTCTTTGCAGAAGGAGAGGGCGAAGACAAGGAGCAGAGATAAGCGAGCAATTCGGTCCTCGCCGCAGGAGAGCATGGAAGCAATGCTCTCACTTCTGCCGCTGCCGCTCTCGCTTCTGCCGCTCTCGCATTAATTTTTCACCCGGCGGCCGGTAGTCCAAGCTTGCTCCGCGATTCGGACCGCGAAAAGCCGGAAAATAGTGGAAAACCAAACGGTTTAAGTGTATCGCCGCTGTGTAGAAAAGTGTCAACATGAAAAATGTCTAAAAAGCCAACAAAGCGGCGCTGGCTGGATCTAGGGCGGAGGCGAAAAAGGAGGCAAAGGAAAAGTGCGTAAATTAGGGCAAGTGAGCGCCCGCCGGTTCAATTGTGCCAACAAGCTGTCTCTCCTGCCAAGGTGTTCCATTTGTAAGGTGAGGCATTCCAAATCTTGCAGGTCTGACTCTCTCACGTTTAGTGCGTCCGCTCGAACTCCACATCTCAAGTGCCTCAAGCGCCTCACCTTATTTTCTTGGCTCGTTCGTGTTCGTTTGCGGGTTCGCTGCGTAGATCGTGCGTTCGGAATCGTCAATCGCGTTCTCATGTGTGCGGGAAAGGAACAGCAAATGCCGCCGGGAAAACTTAACTGTTCAAGATTATGGGCCAAAAGGTAAGAGAGAGAAGAGACTGTTTCCTTACTGTTTTTCTGCAATCTGTTCTGTTCTGCATACTGTTTTTTGTTAATCTCAAGGATATGCTCTTACATTTTTTTTTATGACTTTCCATTCAATTGAAGTTAAATATTTTCCAATAATTTTATTGGAAACAATAATAGACAATAGAACAAATAAATTCTCTATTGGCAATAGCAAAAAAATACTTAATCGTAACATTTGCATTTTGCATTTTGCATTTTAGTTCGGCAACTTAGGGCTAATAAAAAAAAAATAATACAAAATAGTGCAACAGATGATAACAAATACAATCGATTACAACATGAATACTCACTAGATATGCGTATCTAAACTCGTATTTACATACATAATACAAACGGAACGGACAGTTGGAATGGAATGGAGTGGAATGTAATGCAGTCCAGTCCAGTCCAACGTATCATACTCTACTCGTACACTCGGATAATACTCCTAGTATAGATATTCTATTTGAATACTCGTACATTCAAAAGTGGGTCTCCTCCGGACTGGGGGCACTTGCTCTTGCAGCAGCAACTCCTCGCCGATCTCTTTGGCGCTATTCAATCATATTGAATAGTAGACAAGAGAATATCATGCCAAAAATCTACGAAAAACGAACGGAAAATAACGTTAACAAAGGCAGAAAGGCAGGGGGAAGGGGGGGTCATTGACTCACCATAAGAATAGCCACCGCTATGGAGGTGCCACCAATGACCGCTGCATGATCACGAATGAAATTGGTCGTCACATAGAGGCAGCCCTGATTGTACAGGTTCGTGATTGTTGGGAAGATGGTGCACTCCTTGCGCTGTCCGCCGAACAGCTCCTGGCAGCAGGACTCGGGCACGGGCCCATACCGATTCCAGTCGTGCCACGTGTCCACGCCGCAGCACTGCAGCCGCTCCTGGGTGAGGTCCCAGGCCTGGGTAATCTCACGTCGACTGCCATACAGAGCCATGGTGGAGCGCATTTCCTGCAAACGGAAAACGCTGTTACATGCGACTGCACATGATCGATGGATCGATCTGCCTTACCTGCCGCATGGTCTGCTGCACCCGTTCGCGGAACACATAGCCCAAGACGCCGCCAATTAGCATAGTGACGAAAACCAGAGCCACGATTATGAAATACTGAAAATGTAACGCGAGATGTTTCAATTGGATGCTAAATGTACGTTGCTTCACAGTACAGCAGGGCAAGCCAAGGGATGTCCCTTAATAAGGTACTGAATACCTCGTATGTATTCAAAGACATTACTCACCGTTAGGAGCAAGCATTTGACCTCTTTGCCGGCGCCTACACAGCCCAAGAACGAGACCAGACAAATGATGACCGATGTAACCAGCAGGACGTAGACGGCTCCGGAAAACAGATTCGTGCCCAGGAGCTCATTGACAAAACTCCGATCCACCAGTGTCCACAGCGTCAGGCAGAAGACAATGGCGCCACCCACCTAAGGATAGGATATTACTACTGATCGGAGGAGACTCAGAGGATACTTACGAATATGACAAAATTGGCTATGAAAAGACTGTACTTGACGAACTGCCCGCAGCAGTCCATGCGCGAACTGAAGCCCATGTCGTCGTCCTGTGGAGGTTAGAGAGGTAAAGCTATAAATTCTATCCAGAAGAACGGCTGCAGATGGGTTTACGTTTGTCTTAAGGCGATTGATCCGATGAAGAATGGATGATGATGCAAATGAATTGGAATGTAGGGATATGCGGATCTAGATGGCGTGGCGGCTCTAAATGGTAGAAGGATATACGGATAACAGATATTTGTGTTATATTACATTGGATTAATGATGGCCATTCTTAGTATCGAACTAACAGTAACTATCGTACCGCCTGTCTCTGGTCTATGTCTCATCTCCCAGTAAAACGAGCGGCGCATGCGCAGCACCAGCTGCGATCTCCGGCTCCGGCAGTGTCTTGTCCGAGGCAGAGACGCGACCGAAGTACACTTAACCATGACCCACATTCGGAGTCGGCGCGTCGACGAAACCAACGCAATGCGCTAGACAACCGTTCATTATGGCGGCTGTGTTGTTGTTAACGTTTTGTGGGCTTTGTCAGTTATGGCTTTCGGAGAGCCGCCACTTGGTTGGTTACAGAGCCACCGCAGTGGCAGTGGCTCGCTTCAGAGGTTTGCTTCGGAGGCGATTCCATGACGAATACCCCCCGGCAATTAGCCCCGAGACAAGGCTCCAAAATTAATCAAAGTAATCCCCTGTCGCAGCCCAAAATGGCTGCTTGGCTGGCTAATTAGAGTAGCTTATTTACGATTTACGAGTGCCTCCCCAAAAGCCTCGCGTGGGATAGCATCTCTGAATCATGTTCTAAATGCAAATTAAAAGTACAAATAATTGCAGGCCACTCTGAGCGATCAGTCTCCACCCCATTACTATCCAGCAAACGACATCTCATTTCGAAAACCCAAGTAAGCCTCACACTAGAGTTCGTCAGGTAATTGCGGGGTTATTAAAAAAATGTTCTCACACTGTCTGAATATTCTCAGCAAGTGCGAGTGCGAGTTTGAGTACGAGTACGAGTACGAGTACGAGTACTCGTATTTGTTATTAGTCGCTATCATCGTGGAGAGAATCGTGCCTGGGATGACAGGCGAGTCATCTGAAAGTCGCCATTAATGATGGGGCGTTGTATGGTAGTATCTCCTGCTTATAAACAAAAAACCAATTAGGTTTATGGTAATTGTCCAGTTCTACGTGCTACACATCATAATAGAACACTTACCAACGGAAAATGTTTGAAGGAGGGGAATTATTCTACAATGTAGCTAGTGATAATTATGAGGAGATGGTCAAGGAAAAGACCATCTCCACTTGGGTTATTCTGAGGCAGAATAGATACCGTTGAGGCCTGGTACTGGGAATAATAAGGGGTCTCGATGGATCTATAATCGAAGAAGTGTAGAGCTTCTTCGCTTGCCCTTTCAGGACTATTTCTAGGCTGTACTGTCCCCAACTTTCGCTGTTTTTATTTACACACACATGAAAACATCAGAGCACTATAGTTTGTACTTACTTTGTTGCCTTCCCGTAGCACAAACGAAGTTTTCGTTAGGTAACCAATTTTGGCGGTTTTCCTTTTACAGGTTTTGCCTATGTAAATTGCCTCTTAATTGTTTGGCTCGAGGCGGGACAGAAAGCCCAGCCGAAAGACAGTTAAAAACAAACTATTTTCGGTTGCACTTGACTGCACAGAAAGTCTTAGGACTGGTCTCTGAGCTACAAAAGATCAAGAAATAGGAATGGAAATGGAAATGGAAATAAGCTTTAAATATTATTCTCTAAACTATTGCAAAAGTTTTTGTTGCTGTTTTTGGGGGGCTTTGGTTTCAAGGGTATGCCGAATTCGTGAGGCCATTGTTGGTTTTACTTTCTACATTTTTTCATAGTTTTGTTTGCGATTCGTGTGCTATAGTTTCATAACAATTTTATCGATAGCTGCTAAAATGTACATATGTGTTTTTTTTTCGCGTGTCTCAATATTTGTTTATTAACTATTCGGTGTTTTATTTGGATGTCGACGGCTGCAGCTCCACAGCTTTACAGCAAGAAAGATTATTGTTAATGTTTTTCATACAATGTATTGACTATTTTATTAAACTTTTTCCATACAGGTTTCTTGCATTCGCTGCGAGGCTCAGTTGATAATTGCTATTGAGTTTTTATGCGATTGTTGTTGTTGTTGTTGTTGTGGTTGTGGTTGTTGTTGTTGTTGTTTCTGGTGGTATTGTCAATTGCAGTTCTCCCATGGCAAACGGCTTTTTTTCTCGTTTCGCTTTCGACTTTGCTTTTCGAGTTACGTCACAGTCACAGTCCCGGATCGGATCGGAATGGGATCGGAATCGGAATCGAAATCGGAGCAATATCCTTTTCCTACACACAGTGGGTGGAGGATCACGGTCCTCGGGACGGCACGGAACACTTTTCCAACGCTTAACTCACTTTTAAGTTGATTTATTTTTGTATATTTCCAGTGGATAGCGAAGCTGGGAACTGGGCTATATGGGGGACGGTGCCAGAGACGGAGACGGAGACAGAGACGGAGACGGACAGAGATGTGGGGACGAGCTCGACTCCACCGCACGAGCGTTCGCTTGAAACTGGTTGTGGGAACAGTTGGGGCGATCGGTTTTTTATTAGTTTCGCTCACAAAGAGTTTCGTTGTTGGGGCCGTCGTCTCGGCTTGTCTCCGGGTATTACAACAATGCGATCCGAGCTGACGATTTTCGGGGGCTTTGCATTGCAGGTGCCCAACCGAGAGGCGTGAGAGAGGCAAAAGCAGAAACACTGATAGGGAGGGAGAGAGGGAGTGAGGGAGTGAGGGAGAGCTTACAAACCGCAAATACTTCGGCTGCGGATCGGCTTGCCCCCCCCGCTCTCCTTCGGTACCCGCACAGCTCTACTCTTTGTTCCGTTTGCTTGTTGGGGGGGGTGGGGGACATTTGCAAAAAAAATGTGATATTAATATTCGCTGTACAAAGGAATGTCTCGGGACTCCGGGATATATCGGTGGCACAGCATTTTCCTCTATGGATTGTATTTTGTAATTCCTGCCGTCGGAGTTCAACCTTCGGCAATTAGCAGCTTAATTCTGTTGTTAGCCAAACAAATTGGTTTTCCAAACAGTTTGGCGTCGAGTGAAGTAATTTTGTAAAGCTAAGGTCAAAGTTGGCTGCCGATAAGCAAATAAGTATCCCCCCCCCCCCCCCCCGATCCGAGGGCGAGGCTGAAACGGCTGAAAAGGCTGAAAAGTGCTCAATTTATTTCGGTTTTCTCTGGCAAATTGTTGGGTTGTTTAGCACTTTTATGGCTGTGTTAACACTAACTCAGGCTCCCCCACGCTCTCACCAACCGTCAGACAACTGGCATGACAAAAAAAATACTCGTAGATATAAATAATACAACAACAACAACAACAAATAATGAAAAATGAAAAACAATTACACTGGCTGTTGATTTTGCATCTTGTACACTCGCTGTGGGAACCTTTTGCGTTTTATAGAGGCTATAAAATCAATTTCCCCATATGCAAGCCCCTCGAAACCATACAAAATATTTCACAAAAATATCATATCGCTCTCCCCTCCCCCCGTTCTCCGTTGGACTGGGGCTGCGACTAGATCAAGTGCTCAAGGCGCCATGAATTCTTAATATCATTTTAAGCAAGTCAATTTAGTGATTAATGTACGCTAGAGGGGGGGATGGGGTGGGGGGGCCTGTGGAAAGCCTCGTTGAGCTCGCCGAAGGTGACAGGCGTCAAAGGCGTTAAATTGTAGCACTTAAAATGATTATTCTAGAACAACCGAAAATTTGTGGATGATTCTCTAGTGGTTTTTCGAATTAAACAGGGACACAGCAAATATAATTTAATCATTATTTCATTCAGGTATGGTTAGGGTTTAATTGGTTACACTCACATTCCAGCCATTCAATGATCTTGATCTTATCATTAACATATTCCATTAGGATGCTAATGAGAGACAGATCGCTGGAAAACATCTTGCCAATAAGTATGTGTAATTCTCAACAGCTGCAGGTAAAAGTTTTGCTGGGAATACACAGATTATAGTTTAAGAAAATGCATTATTTGACCAGGGATCAGTGCTGCATCTCTTACGATAGATGTACGATCCATTTTCAGATGTCATTGGATGTCTCGTAAGCTCGAATCCAAATCGGTTTTCGGGCGACAGCCTTCGAGTGTCCGTGATTTTGGTGGACAACCGCAAAACGCAACCGACTCTCAGATCTGAAGCCAGCCAAAGCCCTCTAATTGTTCTCATGTACTACCCGTGTCCGTGTGTACAAATTGTACGTTTTCCAAGTGCACTTTGCGGCCTCGGCCCGGGGTCTCTTTAATGGCTAATCAGTGGCCAAGTCGAACAATTGTTTTACCTATTTGCCGCCGTTTGGGGCATTCCACTCCTCCCATCCCATGCCATCCCATATTTACGTGTATTTTGGGTAAACAAGAAGCCGAAAAATAAATTTGACTTTAGTCATGTGGCTGCTAATTGCTGCGTGTCGGTGTCGGTGTCGGTGTCAGCTCCATCGATTGTACGTGGCGATGTGTCAGGCAGCAGCTCAAAATTCTCTCTACAGATATATAGATCTCGATCCAGGTATTTCCGCCACTGGATCGAATCCACGCCATGGCCGGTGAGTCGGTGGGCGCGCACGCTCCGCTCTCGTGGAAGCGTTGGACCAGTCGTCGTGGATCGCAGTTAAATGGTGCGAAAAAATGTCCAGCAAGGGCATTACTTTTCTTGGCTTTTGATGCAATTAAGTCCTGACGGGTGCCAATCGATTGGCAGGACTCTCCCGATCACGAAATGATGTGCCAGGTCCAGATTGGCCGCCGGAACAACAGAAAACAGTTTTTCAATAATTTGTACAGCCAAAAGTTGGGGGGTTACAGGGCCAGATAGGCGAAAGACATACTTTCCCAAGATCGTAAGGATCCACACTGTCGATCAGCATAAAATTCACGATTTAATGATAATTCTTTATTCTTCTGCTGCCAATCGATTTGCAGAACTTTCCCGATCACGAACAGACATGCCACGCCCACATTATTTGGGGGGCACAATTAAATAAACCCCCAGCGACACTTAATAAATGTCCTATCAGCCCAAAAGTATGCCACAATTCAGCACGATTATTTCCCCTAATCGATAGTTACTTATCTGTTATCGATCGCATCCATGTGGGCGCGAAGTTCAAATGTGTGCCCAATTTTCCTGCGACGGCTTATCCTTTCAGAGACAAGGCCTCCCCTTGGGAGGAACAAAACAAAAGACATGCGTGTAAATGATAACAATTCTCAGTTCTCATATTTTATGTACAATTTACATATCCTTACGATCTAGTTGTGTGTTTATTTTGGTACAAATTGCATTGCAAAATCAATAAATAAATTGATCGTGTCTTCGGTTGCCCTGACTTTAAGTACAAAATCTGTTATTGTATCCGGCGTTTGGGTTAATTGTTGTTGATGTTGTTGTAAACTCTTTGAGGAGGCACTTACGCGAACTTACGACTAATCCGGTTGATTGTAGACGGCAACTTTAGTTTGCATTCAGTTTTAAAATATTACTTAGCGGCTAGGAAAGGGTTTTGGTGCTACGATTCACAAGCTATCACTTGGACATATCACAAAACGCGTGCTGCTCCCCGCTCTGCTCACCCCCCTCACGCAGTTCGACAGGCATTGGCATACTCGACGCAATCGTGCAGGGTGGGAAAAATCTCGAAGGGGCCCTCGCTGAGGGCCATGCTGTGCACCAGAGTGTCGTATACCCGATCCACGGGGCTGGCGAGCAGGAGACGAGCACCGCGCACCTTCAACTCCTTGCTCAGGTCGCTGAGCGTGCGGCAGCCGGCCACGTCTATGTGGCCCAGCATGGAGAAGTCCAGAATGAGGATCTTGAACATGCTCGAGGCCTCCACGAGCTGGCCATTGTTGGCCTTGCCCCCGTTTTGCGACACCGGCGAGTAGCTGGCCTTGCTGCCTCCTCCCTTGCTGGGACTCGGGCTGCTGAGCGGCATCTTGTCCAGGCCGACCGCCTCGTACAGCGACCGACGGAAGAACAGACTGGTGGCAAAGTTGAGGGATCCGCTGTAGCGGTAGATCCGCGTCTCAGGCACCTGCATGGCGTTGCGGTGCTGGTTGAGGTCCATGTAGATACCGGGCGCCTCGGGCATGTAGCCCAGCAGACAGGAGTACGGCTTCAGGCCCTTGATGTACAGCGCCAGCAGGGAGATGCAGATGCCGATCAGCAGACTGTAAAAAGCAAAGCCCGCAATGTTAAGAAGGGTCTATGTGAAGAGTCTATCCGTGATGGAGTGACCTACCCAATGTCTATGTCGATGAGCACCACGCAGAGGAAGGTGGATATCCAGGTGAACATCTCCAGCTTGCCCTGCTTGGAGAACTTCTTCAGCTCCCTGGCCTGCATAAACATCGGCTTCAGGGCCACGATGATGACACCAGCCAGAACGCACTGGCGGGAGGGGGAAAGACAGACCACATTCGGTTAAACATCCTCAAGTGGAGATTGAAGAACATATGGCTTACCCTTGGCAGATCGCTGAAGAAGGGCCCGATCCACATGAGGGTGACCACCACCAGGGAGGCGGATATCAGGGAAGCTATCTGCGAGACGCCGCCCGTCTGGTCCTGGATGACCGATCGCGAGAGCGAACAGGCCATGGGTATGCAGGAGAAGCAGCCGCCCACAATGTTGCCAATGCCCATGGCGAAGAGCTCCTGGTTGGCCCGCACCTCGTAGCCGTGCTTCCGGGCGAATGTGAGGCCCATGGACATGATGATCGAGTAGGTGACGACGGCAATGGCAATCGAGTCGAGGGCCACCTTCGGCACCAGGTCGAGCCGGGGCAGAACGGGCTCCGGCAAGCCGCTGGGTATCACTCCCACCAGCTGCACATTGAACTGCGGCTGCAGATCGAAGCACTTGGAGATCAGGGTGCCGCCGATCACGGCTATCAGCTCGGCGGGCAGCGGCAGACGACAGCGCTTGCTCAGGAACGGCTTCAGGATCTCGTTGCAGACCGCCATGAAGATGATCACGGCCACGCAGAAGCCAAAGTTCACCAGGTTCGTCTGCGGCACGCTCTTGATCACGTCGATCAGCGTGTACACGATCTTGAAGGCGCCCTTGTACCGATCCACCTCGATGCCCAACACATCCTTCAGCTGCGCTGTGACCACATGACAGGCGGCTGCCGTCGTGAAGCCATTCACCAGCGGATCGCTCAGCAGGGAGGCCAGGGTGCCCAGTCTTAGGAAGGCCATCAGCAGCTAAAAGAAACGAATCAGCGAATCAGTACGTTCCCAGAAGACCCTAGAAGGGGGGTCAGAGGGCTGTGCTCACATTTACAATACCCACGGCCAGGGCCAGGGATGTGACCACCTCCAGGTTCGTGATCACATCCGCCGGCGGCGTGAGACTCGCCGCCGTGCCGTTGGCCAGCAGCAGGGTGTCCGCTGTCGCAGTTAGATTGGCCGCAACCGGATGAGTGGAGTCGACAGTGGCGTATGTCTGCACGACCTTGAGGGTCATCATGCTGGCCACCG